GACTTGTGATTTCCTCCAAGGAGCTTCATGATACTTAATATTCATGTACAGTACCTGGCTCCTCTTCTTCCTTCGTGCGCTCTGCACTTGGTGTTTGGAGAGAAACCACAGGGGCACCGTCCACACACACCTGGGATTCCAGATGGGACGCATGGAGTCCTGGCTCAGAATTGGGAAGACATGGCCACTGGGAGGGGGGCAGAGGGGGGGAATTACGCAAAATGTGTGGTTGAAAATGGCATTTAATTGTAGCATATCGTATGCATGCATATATGTCTATGTTTGTATGTACGCACATATATCCACATACACCCACACATAATGATAGCCTCAAGCCTTATGATAGTTCCAGAATCGAAAGGCACTTTAGAAGTCACCAATACAGCACCCTCTCTCACCATTTCACAAGCAGGAAAACTAATGCCCAGAGAGGAAGTGTGACTGTGTATGAATAGTCACACCCGTAGTTCAGGGAATGAAATCCCGTCTCTTCAGTTTTGCCCGTTTCCCACGGAGCAAGGTGCTCAGTACCATCAGCAAGGCTGGGAAGCCTGGCGTTGGAGTGAAGTCTGTACCAGGCCTCCCACTGCTCTCTGAGAAACCAGCCCTGCTGTACTTTCTCCGACCCTCAGTTTCCTCATCTTTGAAGCGGAGATTCTTGGGCTGGGTGGAGCCACCTGAGTTCCTGCAGGGACCTTTAGGGTACAGGTCTCAAGTCCGGCATAGACCGAAGTACTCCATCTCCAAGGCCGGTGCACCTGATTCCACATTACGGCATAGGAAAAGAAGGGACAGAAGCTAAATACTGTAGTAATCTTGGCCGGACTCCCCAACAGAGCCGTCTTCCGCTTGGGGGAACCTGGAAAGGAACTAGCTACAGAATCATGCGGTGGGCAGCGTCAGGGCTGTATGTGATGTGGCTCTTTGAATTGGTGAGCCAAGAGCTACAGGGTCATGGCACCACTTTGCAACGTTTGAGTGAAGTGAGCATTGGGTTTTCCCAAAGTTAAAAAGGCTGCTGTGACTGGTCCCCTTGATCTTCTGAGCCTGACTGTGGCTCAGAGCCTGAAGCGGTGTGGGTGGCAGGAGAGGCAGGAGCAAAGCAGGATCACCTACCCCAGAAGGGGTCTCCCCTCCCCACGTCAGGGATGCTGGTGGTCCATCGTGTGAGAGAAGACACGTAGTAGGTACTCAGCTGGTAGTTACCAGTCCTCCCCTCAAACGAATTAAGGATCATATATCTCTGGGCTGAGAAGGGAGAAGCAGGGCTTTCCTTTAGCTGTGAGTGTCCTAACTGTATCTGTTCCACACACCCCCAACCTTAGAACACTGGTGCACAGTCAGGGCCAACTTTGCATATGTGACAAAGTTTCCCCACCCCTCCCCCCATTTACTGAAGGACACTTGTCAGGTTCACTGATTGCTGCCTTAGGCCCCAAACCAGAGCTGTCACATGCATTAGGGTGGTTCTGCGGCACCTCCCCCACCTTTCTCTGTTGGTTTAGGAAGGAGAACTGTCAACACCCACGGTTCACTTCCTCTCATCTGAAGTCAGTTAAAATAACACACAAGAAATCACAATACTATGACACTAGAATGACATTAGAAATACCTTCTTACTCCACTCTGTGAGCTCTGTTCAATCTGATTAGTTCAGAGTTAGTTAGATCATTCTCACAGATTTAGCACCCTTTCCTCTGTCAACTGTGTGTGTGTATGACCCGGGACAAATCGGTCTGTCCAGTTGTCCTAAACCTAGAGGAACGCCTGGGTGTCTCGTCTCCACAGTGCCTCCTGGGAATAGGAACAGAATTCTCAAATATTGAAGCAAACAGGGCAAAACCCAGTCCTTGCCCCGCCCCGCCCCTCCCCATCTTAGGAAACTATTCCTTATCCTTTCTTGTGCTGGAAGTTTAATATAAACAATAGTGTTTAGATAAATGAGCTACCAGAGATTTTCCCTGTCATATTCATTGTCTGAGGGTTTAACTTATTTTGAAGGAAAATAAGTGATTTCTTCAGGAATAATTATGTTCTATAAGTTGAAAAAAAACCCCACAAACCATGGGACGTTTCTTAGGTCACCACGGAATGGGATTATTGCTGTCAGGACAGTTCAGACAAAGGAGCATGTCTGAGAGTTTTACATTTGTGTCACATTTTCTCAGTTTGGGTAGGTGACACTTGGGAGGATGTGTATCTTGCCTCAGCTGCTCGAAGGCAGCTTCTAAAAATATAAATGTCTTCTAATTGGGAGCTGTCCTTACCAGACCTCTTAGATACATTTTATGAACACACCCACTCACGTACAAACATAATTTTTGGCAGTGGCCAACTTTTTGTGGCAGGTTTTTTTTTTTTTATATTTCAAACTTGGTATTTGACACATTTTAACACTTGGCATTGTCTCTGAAAGGGAAAAAATGGAACAATTCGCTGTGATCTAGTGAGTGTTCATCTGAATATTCACTTTCTATGCGGGTCCTCAGGTGGGCAGACGTCCCCTTGTTGATCTTTTATCCTCTTGGCTCATGGGTCATTTAAGAGCAAGAATATTGTCTTTTTATTCATTTGTTCAGATGATGGGGGGCAAGTAGGAAGGCCCGCTGACCTTCCTTGGAATAGAGCTGTTGGAACCCAGTTTCAAGGAATTTATATTATGTCTGGCTCACTCAGTGGTGCTTTAAATGTTTACATAAGCAAAAACATTCAGATGGAGAGGCCTTATTTCAGCAGTTACAAAGGCATACGGCCCCCCGATGTGTTCAGTAGCAATGTCCATCCCACTTTCCCCTTGTTTTACCAAACTGTCAGAGTGATCTTTGCTGCTCTGCCCACAGACGAGGGTTTGTCTGCAGGGCTGTTGTGATTTTACTTATTCCCAGAACATTTTCTGAGAATTGGAGTCTCCAAGGGGAGAAATGGCTTCGCGTGGTCTCAGAAGCCAATGGCTTCGCGTGGTCTTGTTTTCTGAGTGAAAAATTGGACACTGGCTCTAATAGAGGATTCCACCTTCTTTTCACATGTCCACCCTCCCACCCCCAGCCCCCATGGGTAGTAAGATTAAAAAATACAGGCAACAGATTTCCTCTAAGAAGTTACAGTAAAGAATACAAAATGCAGCCATCTGTACGTCAGATGAGATATTGTGCTGTCACTTTCAACATTTCGATATTTCAGGGTTTTCTTTTATTTAGAGACTGCCAAGGAGGGACTTTGGTTTGAATTCTGGCTTCATCCCTTCCTGGTGGTTTGTCTTTAGGTGAATAACGTAGCCTCTCTGAACTCCCAGATTCCTTTGTCTGTAAAATGTGCACATTAATTCCCACTCACCACACTAGACCTGAGGTAGTGGAAATCGGGTGCTCAGCGCAGCCCTAACACATAGTAAGTGGTCAAAACTGGCCTGGTGTCTGGCCTGTCCTTGTTTGATGGGCTCTGCTGGCTAAATGTTAACTAGTGTGACCAAACACTGTAATTTCAGGGAGGGGTGTGTGTGTGTGTGTGTGTGTGTGTGTGTGTGTGTGTGTTTATTTTTTATGGTGTTGGGGTTGGAGTGGGGGATACTGAGAAGGAAATACTGGAAATGGCTGGCCAATGGAATCGTCATTCAGATGGCCCATGACCCAGGGCTAAAAGAAGCAGCTCTCAACCTCAGGCCCCCCAAGAATAGTTCAGTATTTTTCAAAACCTAATGGAAATGATATAATAAACCTACACAGGTAAAGCTTTTATTTTTCTTTTTTTTTCTTTATTGATTAAGGTATTACATATGTGTCCTTATCCCCCCATTACTCACCCCAACCCCCCGCTCATGCCCTCGCCCCCCTGGTGTCTGTGTCCATTGGTTAGGCTTATGTGCATGCATACAAGTCCTTTGGTTGCTCTCTCCCCTTTACCCTCCCGTTCCCCTACCTTCCCTCTGAGGTTTGACGGTCTGGATGGGCACTTAGGCCGTTTCCAAATCTTAGTTATTATAAATTGCACTGTTATGAACATAGGGATGCATATATCCTTTCTGATTGGTGTTTCTAGTTTCTTGGGATATATTCCTAGAAGTGGGATCACTGGGTCAAATGTGAGTTCCATTTAAAGC